CAGCCTACTACACTCAGTCTCCCTTTCTGCAAACCCAGCTACAATGACAAGTCAAGTCAGGACCAAAGAGCTGAGCTTTTGGTGACAGCCAGCTCTATACCCACTTCTACCAGCTTCTACCAAGTCACTCATTTTGTATGGAATTTGTTTGCGTGCGATCTTGCAATACCTAGAGATTGGAGATAAAAAAAAATACATATATTAAAAAAATTATTTCAAAGGTTTTTAACTGAGGCCATGGAATACACGACTGGATTCCAAAACCCAGCCCTGAAAAGCCGTACAGTTTACAAAATGGAAAAGTTGCAAAGAAGCTGAATATCGTCCATCTATTGTGATTTACACATAAAAAGACAGCTGGAATTTTTCTTACCAAAAAGAAATGCATGGTGAAGATCAGCTTGGTTTTGAGATTCTAATGTGTACAACAAACCTACTGACAGGCTATGATGCACATAAGCCTTTTGCAGCGTAACACCCACAAAGAAAGCAGAAAGATGAGATATTTATTTAAACCAGTTTAAAACACAAAAAATCCTGATTGATAAATCTGACTGACCAAATTGATAAAAAAGCTCAGGATATAAACCTTCTGAAAGATTTGAGATTTCAAATATGGAAGGCAAGAAGTCAGGTAATCTAAATCTACAATCACTAATAAAATTTTCAGAATGAATGTACTAAAATTAGAAAACAAGATAGCTTAAAATTATTTAGACAGCTCCTAAACTTTCACTGTGGTTCCTAAGTATGTATCACAAAATATTCTAGCCCCTAAAAACCTTAAAAGACTAATATATCAAAACAAGTCACAGAACAGTCTTTCTAATAGGGCACAGTACTGAAGACTATGGTAATCATAGAATCATAGAATCTTAGGGGTTGGAAGGGACCTCAAAAGATCATCTATTCCAATCCCCCCTGCAAGAGCAGGGTCACCTAGAGTACTTCACACAGGAACGTGTCCAGGTGGGTTTTGAATGTCTCTAGTGAAGGAGACTCCACAACCCCCCTGGGCAGCCTGTATAAGGCGGGAAGATCACTTCAGAAGTGGCCCTTAGAATACCAAGAAAGTGTTTGACAAAGGAGGTTAGAAGGCTGTTCCAAGGTATCTGAAAGAATAAAGTACAAGGATGACAACAAGTAGAAGAAGGGAATAATCTAGTCACCAACTGGAAAAAACACAGCAATGGTTTGGCAATGAAAGCAGCTGAAGGCAGATTCTGGAGGAAAAAGGACAACAAACTGTGTGAATTACAGTGCTGCTGATCAGAAATTATGTCATCATGGAACGACATCTGAAAAAGCTGGATGCCAAGAGGTTACAGTTGGTGATGTGACAAACAGAGAGGATGGAAATTCCTGTCTTCATGAACTCTGTGTCTAAGGTAGCAGTGAGGTGAGCAAGAGGGCGCACCAGGGAAAGATGGCAGGGGAGGAAGTCGGATATGGATTTCCAACTTTGGAAATCATCCATGGGTGGATGACAATTTAGGGGGGATAAGATTTCCAGTGCAGCTCTCCAAGGGCTCATGGATGGAAAGCTCTCCATTAGGAATACACTCTTTATGAACAGAATACTGACATGACCTTCCCCTTTGCTCTACCATAAATTAGATCAGTAGGTGATGCTTTTGAGACAGAAAAGAAACAAACTGAACCTCAGGGAACAGCATCATGAAGTGGATAAAGAGCCATTTAAGGAGACACTAAATAAACAGTAAACAAAGTAGAAGGAGAATCTAAAGAACCCCGAAAAACAGGAAAAAGAAAGCCTGCTGAATCAAAGCCAATCATCAACCCAAACCCTGGAGGACAGAAAGCTGTCCCTAGGTGGAGACTGCTAATGATCACTGTGATGGCAGCTTCACTGGAGCTCAAAGCAGACAGGCAAAGGAGAAAGAAACAGAGGGAGAATGAGAAGAAAATCGAAGGAGAGCAAGCACAGAAAAACAAAAGGAGTGTGGCCCTAATTAGATAAATATGATATGAGCAAAGTTTTCCATTTGTGTTTCCCTTGAGAAACAAGACTGCCAGGATTTTGAAGGGAAAGGTAAATGAGTCAGAAAGAAAAAAGGAAAATACTTGAGAAAACATCCCAGACCAGAGGGAGGTGCAATGCAGAAAGAAAAATGAGTGAATTTAAGATTTAACAGAACAGAGATTGCAAATCAGGTGAAAAAAGAAATGTTGGCAACCAGGTCAGAGGAAAAAAGGAGAAAAAGATACTTAATACTCGATTCAGTTGGAATATAATACTCAAGACTTCTTATGGAATTAACTTTGTGTAATCTAACTGTCCCCAAAAGTGAGATTGCCTTTACCGATCCAGGCAGCTTTTGAACATGTTGGTCAGCTTCAGTGAAACTCCGAATCTCAAAGAAAACAAAGTTCTTTGAAATTGCATGATGTGTGTTCAGTTAAAAGAGAAATAAATCAAGTTTCCTAACTAGACAAAAGGCTGTAACATGAATTCTCCCTTATTATTGCACCCTGATTCACCAAAGTACCAGCATGTAACTCCAGCTCCATACGGAGCAGAAGCCTTCAGTGAAAGAGGCTCTCTAATAAACCAGGGTTAACTGACTGAAAGGCAGAGATCCACAGGAGACAAGGCTTCCCCAGGGGCAGTACTCAGTTCTCAGTGTTTATTTAAACTTGCAAAGGAACTGGCTGAATTTTTGTATGAAGGAGGCTGAAGACAAAGAGAAGCATGAAGAATTAACTGATAATGGGAACCAAGGGTGAAGGCAGACTTGAGTACAGGCAGGAGTTGGGATGGTTAGAAATAAGAAGTACAAAGTGGCAGCTTTCTTACAGTACAGGACCAAGGAGCGTGTGAAAGCAAGTGTAGAGCAAAGATAAGGAAAAGAAAAATAAGCCAAACAGTCCAAAAGGGCTCAAGAGAAAAGGGTAACATTCTTCAGAGTAAGAGTAGATACTGGCAAAGCAGAGGTTTCTGAGGCCTGGTGTTGTGGTCACATACTGCTGTCATCCAGCACACCACTTCTTTTGACCTGAAAGCTCAGACAGCTTTGAAAGTTTGAAAGTTGTTGAACAGCAAGAACTGTCCACCAAAGAGACTGCTCGTTGATCCAGTGGTCACGCAAGATTCTTTGCCAGTGGCACTCACTAAGGAAGTTGATCCAATCAGTGGAAGACACTAATAAAATCCTAGTCCAACCTGTTGTCAACTAACTCAAGTACTACCAGCCTCAAGTAGTCAAGTTTTTGCTTTGGAATCTTGTTATTTCTCATAGACTGACAAGTTTTGTAAGTAACTAATCTCCTTTTTTCTTTTTCTTAAAACAACAGCTGTTGCTAAGTGCTGAATTACCCAATCTTGCAAATTAGCAAGTAAGTGAAGATGGGGTTTTTGGTGGTGTTGAATGGCTAATACACTACAAAATGGATTTCTTAATGTATTTTGACAAGTGTGGCATTGATTTAATTATCTATGAACATGTTTTGCAGTATGCCAATAAAAGCCCTCCAGTATATTGTTGCATTTTTTTCAAACATAATGAAGTCTTAGGGACATGTGACCTTTCTGCCACTATCTGCTATTACGTCTGTGCTTAGAGGTAACATACAGGTAAGCAAATGACACCACCATTTATGCATTAGCATCTGAGTATGATGAAATTTCCTCTTTAATGAAATTAGCTACAGCATGTTCTTACCATAATTCTTCCTAACAGGCACTTGTGACAGCTAAAAGAAAAAAATACAGACACAATATCCAAGGAAAATCTCAACAGAGGAAAGAGATTCTAAAACTGAGGAGAGCTTAAATAATTACTTTCAATACTTCATTATCTATGGCTATAACATGTGGGAGAAAGCAGAGTTTAATCCTATAGTTTCCTGTATAATGGCACAAACTCAGGACCATATTTTATGTCCCTACAAAAGGCCAGTAGCATGGTAGAAGTTTCAAGTTCAAATGAATGCCTAACTGCACAGTACTGAAAAATATTCTAATGTTCCATACAAATAAACCAGCAAAATATCTTTTATTAATTTTATTTATATGGATGTAGCACTTGTCATATTTTCATAATGCATTAGAATTGTCACTGTACTAAGCAGTAATTTGATGGATTAAAACGATAGGTTTTTTGTTTAATCATTAAAATAAGAACATTGTATTAGGTTACCATAGCAAATAAAGTTAACTATGACAGCATCTGTCCTATGGGGTTTTTTTTATTATTATTATTTATTTTTTTAGCATTTTTTGCATTACCTTCTTCCTTACACACATACCATTCCCTGCATGCACACCTCTAATTATTGCCATACACACATGGTTTAGCTGACACTGCTTCTCTGATGTGTGTCTAGTCTCTAGACATCCTCTACTTTAGAACAGCAGATCGTATTACCACATCCTATGGATGGTCAATTCATGCTCTGACAATCACGGCGCTGGAACGCCACTAGCAGATGTGCCAGTACTGTAGCCTGCCAAATTAAATTTTGCAAATACCAACCTGCTAATCCTCAAATTCCCAATTTGATTTGAGATTAGTTAGATAGTTAGAGACTATGCAAAAAATTTCCAGATGCTCAGATCCTTTTCCCAGATTCCATCCTCTGGATATACAGAGGTAGCAGCACACAAGAAAAAAAAGAGGCTGAGAGCAGACAATGACCGTGTGAGTCCTCAGGGTATACCTGATCTACAGATGGACAGTGAAGAATCTCAAAGCATCTTCAATTTATTATTTAAATATCTGTGTTTCTAGGATCACATTTCCATGTCAGTCAATACTTATGGAAGTCTGTAAAAGACATTATTTGGCAGAAGTTATGAAGGGAAATTATTCATGGCACAATGGTAATTCACTTAGCTTTACATACGAATCAGAACTAATTCACACAAGAAAGGTACAGGCTTCTTTGGAGACAATCAAGTCACACCAAACTGCATTGCTTTGCTCCTCTCTAAAAGGAAACACACTCCTATCAAAGGAAAAGGAGATGGTGGCACTCACCTTACATCCCTCACAAGCACTGACACCATAGTGATATCCAGATGACTTGTCTTGACAGACAAAACAGGGCTTGTAAACTCGAGGAGGTGGAAGTGGTGAAGGAGGGCTCGGAACAAGTTCCTCAGAACTGGTGCTCTGAGTTTCAACTGCTACAAAAGAAAAAAGAATGATTAATGAGTTTTAAACAACTGATTATTTACTGTATTGTAACTATCAAACTGGATCATATCTGTCTTTGTATAATAAACATTATTTTGTCTTTGCTAGCAAAATTTAAGGAGAACTCTAATATAAGGCAAATAATGACAGGACTACATGCTACAGCCTCAAAAGTGTATTTTAAAGTACCCGATCATGTCTCATGATCCAGCTACTCAGCACCATAAAAGCTTAATCTCATTTCAGATACAGGGCTTCAATCTCCTACCAGGCTCCAAAAATGGACAACTTTCAGCATACTTTCTGGTTTTAGCCTGC